GGGTCTTTCAAATAAGCATAGATATTTCCAAATTCAGGATCAGCTTTCAGTTCAGTAATAACCGTATCTCTAGAATCTAAAATTTTTGAAGTCAACACAGCGCATTTAAGTTCATTTCCTTCATCGTCCAGTTTTTATACGAGAAAGTGCGTCAGCTACATTGTTTTCCTTACCCGGTTTATATTTTATTGTGATATTATATTCTTGGAGTTTTAAAGCCCATCTTATTAACCTGGGCGTTAGGTTTTTTCCCGAGAGTAAAGTCTACCAACAGCCGCATGATCCGAAAAGACTGTTACTGGCGATTTGCCGAAATAAACTCGAAATTTGTGTACAGCCATTAATACGGCTAATGTTTCTCTTTCTGTAGCTGTATAATTCCTTTGTGTTCTGATTCAATGTTTTACTAAAAAATGCCAGCGGATGGTTATTTTGCATAAGAACCGCACCCACCGCATAGTCTGACGCATCTGCCGCAATTTCCAGGTTTTCGTCCCCCTCAGGGAATTTTAAAACAGGGGCATTAATAAGCGCTTCTTTTAATCTTTCAAAAGCTGTGTTAGCTTCCGCTGTCCACGTAAATTTACTCTTTTTCTTTTGATTACTAAGAGTGGTTCAACAATATTAGCGAAATCTTTTATGAAAGATCGATAGTAAGAACATAATCCAAGGAAAGACGAAAGTTTCTTGGCGGTGTTGGGCGGTGGGAAATTCTTAATAGCTTTTATTTTTGAATCTTGCGTTTCTATACCCTTTTGCGAAATTTTATAACCGAGATATTTAAGTTCTTTAGTTGCGAACTTGCATTTTGAGGCGTTAATTGTAAGACCGGCCTCTTTTAATAATTTAAAAACTTGTTCGAGGTCATTAATGTGTTGTTCCAACGTACTACTCGTTTATAATTATATCATCTAGATAAATTAAAGTTGATTTTCCTAGGACAGGCTTAGAAGAACAATGTCCATAGCTCTCTGGAATGTTGATGGGGCCCCACACAACCCAAAGGGCATGCGTAAAAATGCATAAGTGCCCGATTTTGTTATAAACGCGGTTTTATGTATATCTTCGGGTCTCATAGCTATTTGATAGTAGCCAGACGTTAAGTCCAAAGTAGACATATATCTTGTCGATTTGATCTGTCTAATGATCTCGTCTATAACCGGCAAAGGGTAAACTGGAAATTTGGTAATACTATTTAGTTTTCTGTAATCAATAGCAAACCTCCAAGCCCTTTTATCCGAAGGAGGAAACTCGTTCTTTTTCCTACATAGTACGACTGGACTCGCGTACTCACTATTTATGGGCGTTATTATTTATTCTTTAACATCTCCTGAATATGTTCTTCGATGATTGGTTCTTTTGTTTATCATAACGATACGGTTTTAGTCCTACAAGGTTTTTCGGCATTTAATTGAATCTTGTGAGTTACTATCTGGCAGTTTCCTGGTTTTTCTGAAAACAAATGAGAAAAATTACTCACCACTTGCTGTATTGCTTTACTTTCATGGTCATTCAGATGGCTAAGGTCCAACTTCAGGTGTCTCCACAGGTTCCACCACCCTCTGGTCCATCTCCAACACCACGGAAACTATCTTGAAAATTTAATTTGGCCCTCGCGGCCCTTAAAAAGTCCATACCTAAAATAAGAGAGTGTTGCAGGTCTTTTCACCACAAAAATTAATACTTTGAGATTTTCCTCTTTTACCTGTAAGTTAATGATAACTTTCCCGATGCAGTGACATGTTTTTCCTTGCGCCGCTATAATTTCCGTATTTTGGTTTTAAATAGTCGTATCCTATAAAAATTCTTTTGAAGAACTTTTCACTCATAAAATTTCCTTCTGCTCCTGTATCGATGAGGGCTTCTACTGGTACATCGCCAACCAGGACTTGTATAATTGGTAGCTGTGAGTTTTTTTTACGATGACGTGTTTAAATGTCTATTTGAGGGTTTTTTTAAAACTTCCGGGGTCTGGACCCCCCCTTTCACAGGCCCCTCTAGTCGTTTAAAGCTTTCCTTTCAATCTGTGTCTTCTGGGTACGCGGATGTTTATTTTCAAATTTTCTTTTTGGGCCTTGACCTTCGAGTTTCGATGCGTTAGCTTGATAGTTCTTTTCCCCCATACGAGCGATTTCCATTTCTGGTTTCCTCCTTCCTTCGGGTACTTTGAGAATATGTTTCCCCTCTCGCTCTTTCCGCTATTCTGCGATTTTGAAACTTCACCGCCAATTCGAAAAGTTCCTGCAATGTGCTTGGGTTTCTAATTTCAAAGTAGTCTTGGACAGCGGGTAACAATCTTGGTAATATTATTTCAATTATCTCCGCATCGGGTTTTTTTTCCATACAGCATATCCGTTAGCTTGATTTTTCGTAAAATAAAGTCCGTCAATTGTGCTATATCCCGTTGATAGAAACTATATAGTTCGGCTTCCAGCCGTGCGCGATCTTTCACTATGGGGAAGGCCTTTACTAACGATTTTTTGAAATTTTCAAATGTATACGTCGGGCTTCCAAATTCACCTAGTAGAAATTTCCTATGTTTTTCCACCATAGCGCGGCCCTGTCCTCTTAGTGCTGATGTGGCGATGGCAACTTTTTGTCTTTCAGGACACAGGGTAGAGCTGAAAGTGGTTTTCTAGACCTTCTAAAAATACGGCCACCGAATTTTTTCCGTCGAAATGGACGTTTGGCTTGATTGATGCTCTCAAAGTCTGGACCAGGTATCCAAATCCTTCTAACTGCGTTGTCATTTCTTGGTGTGTCCAGCGGCTTCCATCCAATTTTCGGCCATTTCAGTTCGATAAGTGTTCGGGCGCCAATATAACGTTGCGCGCCTCCAACTTGCACGCAACCAAGAGGTGACTGTGAAAACTTGTATAAAAGACAGAGTCTTGTAAAGGGTTTAAGTCCCTTTTTATTCAACGTAATAAATTACAATTGCGTCCTCTTGACGCTTACAGACGGTGCCAACTCGGCAGTCAAATAAAAATAATAACCTGAAAAGAAAACTAAAGACAAGATTCTAACTACGAGGCTCTCTAAAATAACTAACTCACCGCGTTTTACAATACCGCTGCTAATTCAGCAGACTTGAAGCTCACTGGAACACGATTAACACTACTTCCCGCCAAGCACATAGGCCGCAACGCGGGGTTCTTCAATTCTCGCTAACTACCTCCGCGCTCGTGCAAGTAAGAATATCTCCTCACCGAACTTGTTTCCTTCTATTTAAATCATACTACTTCCGCTGATAATTTGAATCCTTGCGCGTTCTACTCAAATTTACATATTCTGGCATTGGCAGTTCCAGGGGAGGGGAAAGTAAGGCTTGACAGGAAAGATAGTTTAAACTTAAAATAAATGTTAGTTAAAATAAATATAAACCCTACAATCTGAAAGCTTTCAGATATTTTTTCAAATTTTTTTATAGCTATTTCTACTTGTAATGTTGCCTGTCTAAACATTTGAATATATGACCCCAATAAATAAAAATTTAATCTCTATGACCGAAGGATAAAGATTTAGAAAGGTGCTTCTTAGTAATGTTTTTGCGCAGCAGGTCTTGTTTGAGGACAGCATGCTTTCTGCTGCAATGCTTTTATAGTAAATCTCGGTCTGAGCTGTCGGTTTCTTCAGTAGTGATTTGCTCATTCATTTCTTGTGTCAGTTGTTTGCTATTGTGAGGGCAACATCCAGAGTCGTAGCTAGAGTTTTCAGCGCCCAGGGACAACTGAAGATTTCGCGCCCCTACTGCTTGCCAAGGATGGAAAACATTTAATTCTAAAATGTCGTAACATCAGTTTGGCGCCCCTTGGATTCTGCGCCCGGGGACAGATGCCCCTCCTTGCCCCCCTCTAGCTACGCCCCTGGCAACATCTCACTGAGGTCATCAGTATCAACTTTCAAATATTACTGCTTAAGAAGATTCCACTTATTCCGTTACATGAATTACTTGACAAGTTTCTGGCATTCTTTCGTCTAACATTTAAAACGAATGGACAAATGTTCTTGCAGTGACAATTCAAAGTATTTGGAAAAATTCTTTCTAAGATCATGCAATGATTCTTACAGCATTTAAGATCTATGATTCTTACAGCTGCTATCATACATTTGTTTGTTTCGGAAGAACAACTGTTTGTAACACTTTTTCTGATTTGTCAGAACAGCCAATCACCACAGATCACTTTGGGGTTAACACAGGAGAAACTTGTTCTCTATTGATAGCGGATTGATTGAAAACAACTTGCAATTTTTTTCGAAAGGAAGAAAAAAATCGCGCATGTTTCTTTTAATAGTAAATCATGCAAAAAAAATTGTCCTAAACAGTTGTCAGTTGTTCTTGTGAAACAAATGCATATGTGATATGGGCCTAAAACACTGAATTTTGTAGATCACAGGAGGAGCGTAGCTAAGGAACTACGTAACTTCGATTTCGCGTAAGTCGGAGTATCAACTTAAATAATAGATTAAAAATAAAATAATAGATTAAATCCTTTTAAGAACTTCAGTCCCCACTCACGAAAATGCACGAAATGCCAAATACAAACACTAAGATCAGAGTAAGGTATGTTGCGCTCTCTAGTGACCAAATAAATCACGATGTGAATATATCCTTTTGTTCACAATATGACGGCCTTGTTTTCATGCAAGAAGGTATTAGTGGGAAATATCAAGCATCCGGAAACAGTCCTGCGAGTCATAGTCTGAATGTTGTGATTTCATTTTCCTTTTACCTGATTTTTATAAAATCGCTTATTCATGACAGATGCACCAATGCCGTATTTAAAAATTCTCATATTATATTGGTAAGCTGATTTACATCGTTTAATTTTGGATTTGTTGATGAAGTTCAGCCGTAGATATGTATATAAAAAATTTACTAGTTTCTCCTTTACACCTGCTTTCATATATTTAAGTTGCTATATTAATTTATGTGTTATTATTATTATTTTTATTTTGGCCGTAGGGACTTGAGCTTTGCCACAGGAATAATTCCTGTCAAAAATTTATTCAAGGATTTTTGAAAACTCTAGAAGTGATCACGCTTTCGCGCGAAAACATGCATTTCTTATCGCATATCGGTGTGCTCGAAATACACCAGCACTAATATATTTTTTTTTAAAAATATTTTTATATTTTCCCAGAATCAGTTATTTTAAATCCTTTGGTGTAAACTGATGTTGAAGATTATGAGGGTTTTTTTATTATGCTGTAATCTATTTGACACTTGGTGAACTTTAATGTCAGATATGGAATAAAATGTACCACTTTTTGATTTAGTCATAAAACATTTAAGACTGTTGCAATTGTAAGTAATTTTTTTTTTTCTCTTGCAATAAGAGTTAATTCTGATAGGTTTGAGTGTTAATTTATGTAATGTCTTATTAAATTGGCAGTACATAAATTCATCAAATAGCTGTAATTTATGTAACTAAAGTGAGAAAATAGTATCTGTTGTGTTTGTGACAATATCAATAAAATTTTCATTTGCAGAATTTGTAAGGAGTAAGTGGTATACTGTTGGGAACATTTATATAAATTCACATTGAGTTTTCTAATGTCACAGAATTGTGCATGATGTTTTTTTAACAAGATTTTGTTAATATTTTCCAATTTGCATTGAGTGATATTTTTAAAGTACATGATAAGTTTGAAAGATTTTAACTAATGTAAAGATAATATTATGAAAATTGATAAGTTGTTATAAACTTTAGTTTCAAATAAAGCCACTTTTTCTATAAATTCATACTTGATGTTATAAGAAAGCCTGCGTATATCGATAACTTGGGTGTTTTGCTGCCACAATTGTAATTAGACATAACTAGAAAATTAAACTTATAATCTGTTTACAGCATATACCTTTATTACATGCTGATATATATATTTTTTTTTTTTATGAGCAAGACTTTCAACTTAGATCAATTATCTGTAAGAAATACAATATCAATTTGACACTTATTTTATTATTTGTTTTTCTGGAAGAAAGACATCTATATTATTAAATTTTTGCTTTGGATGAATTATAATTGAAAATGCAACTTTGTTTTAAAAGTAGCTTTAGCAGTGGGTGAGTGGTTTGACCCAGACAAATGAGCTGGTTACATGGGTGTATTTTATTGCTTTTCCCATGTGTAATGTGAATGCAAGAAAGTCTTTTTTGAGGATATCCTTCCTTTCAAGCAGTAGCAAGATAGTCCTTGTGTACTTGGTTATATCCAAAGAACGTAACATAAAAAGGAATAGTTTGCCATTAATTAAATATGTCTTAAGTTGAATTTTTGAATTTTAAGTTTGTACAGATTACATTATTTGGATATTTTAATGGAGTAAATGAATTTGAATTTATTTACATAAGCATTATTATTAATACTTTTAAAAACTCATAATTCTAATTAAAGTGTTCTTTGTGGGCAATTGTTGCAGTGCTGATTAGCATTCATGAAAATTCAGACTTAAATCTGAGTTTTTCAGTTAATTTTTTTTATTTGATCTATATTTGAATGAAATCTGTAAACGTTCAGAGACTTCTTTTATTCAGTTTGAAGCTCTGAAAATAGTAGCAGGTAGAATTATTTGTGTTTTATTAAAAAAAAATAATGAATGTAAGATGCAGGTAATATTGAAGAAATATAATCAAAACATATAATATTTGTTATTATTTTACGAATGAATTAATTCTTAATTGCAATAAACCTTATTCCATAGCGGAGTATGTTTGTTTCTTTATGCTCTTAATGATGCATATTAAAAATATAATTCTTCCCTGACTTCATGAACTTTTGCTTTATATGAAACCTCTGAATCATGAACTCATCTTTTGGAAATAAATGTTAAATTTTTATCAGAAAAAATGTTTCCAGTGAAAAATGATGTTTTAGCTTATCATTGCCATGGCATCTCCATCTTGGATGCTAAATTCAAGTTCATTATTAGACCTTACTTTATTAGTTCCTGCTTTATGAGTTATTGCTAGGAATGAATTTGTTCATAAAAGTGAGGTAGTCTTATGCTTTATTAGTATGGATGTAGCTCAAGGATCAATGCAGATTACTACTGATAGCATTTTTTGTAAAAAAGATCTTGTGGCTCATTTAGTATTAATTAGCTATATTTTTCACAGTGTTGTTTTTATTATCCATTTCTCGCTATAAACGAGTTTGCTTCTTGTACTGGAGAAGAAAATTAGGGAGTAAAAACTTTTTTTTATTGTCTAAAATCAAAATTATCATTGAGTATGCAGCTGCTGTTTTCGTAAAAGTTTTTAACAAAATTCAGATGTAAAGGAATTAATTATAAGTTTTAGAAATGAAGTTTGAAATTTTGTAAAGAAATGCATTTGTAAACTTGCACATTGTAGCAACTATGTGAAGCACTACAATTATCATTTTACTGTCCAGATCTGCTCCTCTGATAATAAATTCTCCCTTGACACCATTAATTTGGAATATGCAACATAAATGTGGTGGTGTATGTTGCTGAATTAGTTAATACAATTTGGATCTTTTGTGAATGGCTTTCCTGCTGTGTACTAAAAGCGCATTTCAGCAGATTAATGAAAAATCAGCTGAAGTTAGTAAATTTCACCACTAGAGTACGGACTGAAATTAAGCCAGATAAATTAAAGAATGCAGAAGCAGTTCCATTGTGTAAAGCATGTTGAGCATTCTTATTTAAATGTAGATAAATTACAGTGTAAGTGTATTTTTTAAGGTACTTAGACATTTACAGTCAGAAATTTGTGTAAAATATCTTTTATATAAGTTAAAGGTGCAACTGTAATTTTTATACTGTAATATAGCAGCATTTTAAAATTAAATGTAGAGTTTTATTTATTTATTTGTTTTTTAAAAGTTGTTGTAAGATTAGTTGCTTACTCTTTGTATTTTGCAGCAGAATCTGTCCAAAGCTGATTATGAAGTAATTTATTCAAGTGTGATGTTGCGCATTTGAATGAGCGAAATGAAGGTAATTTTTATTCTTTATTTCAGAATATTTGGGGAGAATTGACAAATTATGTTAAGAGTGAGGAACATATGCTGGGTCATTTTATAACTAAGCAGTTTTTGACCTTAGGTCAAAATGAAATATAGTGTTTTATAGGTAATGCATAATCATGTATATAGGATCAGAACTTGCACAATATTTTTGATAGATGTGCATTAGTTATATGTTTCAATGTAATAAAAATGATGAAATAGTATTAAAAACATATTTTGCAGTGGGAATTTTATAAACGTGGTACTGCTACATCAATAAATAAAATATACAAAATTTAAGATGAAGAGTTCCATCATTTTCATTATACATGTTATAAGTTTGAGGATAAACTGTAAGAGTTTAAATGAAATGCCATATGCTGTGTGCATTGATTCTGAGCAGAATCCAAGTTTAGTATTAGAATATCTGTCCAAACAGCTCCAGACAACCATTCGGTGCACTACTGGCATATTTTAAAGTTGCAGGAAAAACTTCTTAATACAGTACAAAGTCCATAATCTAGACATCCATTATCTGGAATGATCTATAATCCGGACCTCAAAGGCCACAAACTTTTTTTTTGTATGCTTTATGCATGCATGTAAAGAATGCACGTGCATACATTTCGTGCATGTGCATAATGTATGCTCTACGCATGCGCACATTGAAAGAAATGTTTAATAAAGTAAACAAATAAATATTAACCTTTTTTTTTTTTTGTAAAATTTGATACTCTTTAGATCATAATTGCTCTTTATTTCATAAATTATAGTTTCATATTTTTTATTCTATAATTTCTGCATGCCATCTTACCAGATTTAAATTGATGATCTATAATCCGTAAAAACCCCTAATCTGGAATCGCGGAAGTCCCAACGAGTCCGGATTATGGACTTTGTACTATATAGGTGTGTAGGCTCTGCATGAGTTGTCAGATATGGATTTGAAACATCTTCATCTCTCTTGTATAGAAAAAGGGCCATTTCTCAGTCAAATAGTTACTGACAGTATTAAATAGCTCCTTTTCTTGAATATAAATATAAAAGACTATACTTGATAAAGGCAAGACACATTTACAACACTGAAGAGTCTTCTATCCAAATAATGCTGTGGTATACTAAAAAGTTATTTCTTTTAAGCTTATTTTTGGAGATGAAACCATCACTAAAGATCCGTGTTGCGAATAACTGACAAGACTAGTGTATACTAAAGAGACCAGTATTAGGTAATTGATGGAAGATTGTTTCCATCATAGCAACACATAAACTTATACAACACTAAGAAAAGCTCCAGATATGAATGGGAAATTGGGATTCACTTGACTTATATCTTTTGATTGCACTATCAAATTGTCATCTTTCTCAAAGCCACATCTTTCTTTTCGAAGCTTTTAAAACCATTTTAATGGAAACTATTTTAATTCAAAATGTGCTGTCTGAAGAAATCTCCTTTTTCTTTAACTGAAGGCCAAAATTTATCAATAAGGTACTGGACATTTTAAATTAGGATATGTACAGGTTGTAAATAATATAGGTGGATATACCTCTGGTAAAGTTTAGTATTTAAAATTTTTTAATTCCTTTTGTTATTTTCTATCATTCGAGTACACAGCCTTTTTGTGTCTGCATGGAAAGAGCTGTATTTATGCAACATTTGCTGGCTAGATTTGTGTAATTAATTACATTACTCTTTATTTTCGAAACCTTTTGTTCATTGCATAACATATAGATTATTAAATTAAATAATAAAAAATGTATTTTAAATAACTAGGTGAAATTTAAGTAAAACTTATAACCAGATGAAAATGATTAAGCTGCTCAGAGGGTTAAATATTAAAGTACTTAATGATTATCCACGCCTCCAGTTTCTGTTGTGGAACTGGAATGTTTGTTGCATATTTTTGAATATACACACAACAATTGAAAACCCATGCATGTGCATGCCACACATGTGCTGGGGCACTCCATGGTTTACATTATTTGTATTTAATTGTTTGGCTAATCTTTGGAATATGGTAACAGGTAGTTAGGCGACATTTAGGTAAGGCGATAAAGGTTACTAGCTAGAACGTTAGCAATAATCTGAGAAGTACACAGTTCCAATCACAGATTATTTTTGTCTATTTAGAAATGAGAGATCATGAGACATGTCATGTGACATTTATGGAGGAATCAGAGTTCTTTAATCCCAAAAAGGGGGGAAATTTACAAAAATATCTGGAGTACTTCTTACCATTTTGTATGTTCAGCTTCATTCCATCTTGTATTTTGTGTAAAACAGTGTTTTTTAATATTTGGATCCCATGGCCCTCTCTAAAGTAAATTCCAAATTTTTATTGCATTTATGTGATCATCCAAAAGAGTTGCTTGAATAGTAGTGTATGAGTACGGGATTAATTGCAGATAAGTATGAATGTCCAACATGTGGGAATGAAATGAGATTGTGTGAAAGGAAGGATATTACGGATAAGTTTGAATGCTAAATTTTTGCCAAAAAATCGCCAAGTAACCATAATCTGAAGATTCACCAATTGTTTTTCTGTCAGTGTAAAAATGTAAATATCAGATATTTAGATTTTAGGTACTTTTTGATTATTTGCACCCCTTGTGAAAAGTTTCATGAGGCAACATACCATGTAACCAAAAAGGCAGCCCATGTATGCGTGTGTGTGCAGCAGATGAGTGCATATTTCCACCTTCAAATTTTTCTGGTTAGTGTTTGTTTTAGTATTAAGCACTTGCGCTGCGACTAAACTTCATGGTTGCAGTGCCGTGCGCTACAATATAACAAGCGCTAAAGTGTCTCATTTACGCCGCTCTGCGTCTGCGAGTGCACTCCAGAGCTGTAACTGAAGAAATAAACAATCTTGTTGTTAGGCGACGTGTGCACCACGTATTTTCATTTTTGCGATAAATGCCTATCGATGTGGTGTTCATGTCGCTCGTGGTTTGAGAAAAAAAAATCTCGATGTGCGTGGCACATCTTTTTAGCGCAAGTGGTTAAGTACATATTTTTTTTTTTTCTTGTAAGAAATCGTAATACAACTGTGGAGTTGGCCAGCTTTTGAAAAGTAAAGTATTGCATTTCTTCAGAAATGTGACATTTTGTCCAACTGTAAAGAATGTAAAAATTCACATTCATGTAGTTATACTTCTTAAATGATTGAATTTTATGGATCAAAATGTGTATGTGAAACTAAGTTTATGCAATTTGATGACTTTTGTAAGTAAAAGCAAATCGTCATAAAGATGGAGAAAACAACAATGTTGCAGTACCTAATTTGTGCAATTACATAATGTTCTTTTAAGTGAAAATAAATCACTGTACACATGGGAAAATAATATCGAAAAAAAATAATAAGGATTTCTTGAAAGAGGAATTTGGAAAACTGAAAGAAACAGAAATTTTGTTGAAATTCTTGCTTTTGTTCTTCTGTATCTTTTTTTTAATTGGTGAAAGGGGGGGATACCATTTTAAAGTTTATCTTAGGATTAGTATCTTGAATCAAAGCTCAATATAGTTAAGTTATAGAAATTGTTAAGCACACTGTACTGTGCTTGATTTGCAATGCAATGAAAGTATGTGATATTTAGAATCTTTAAATGAAACGTCTCCTGACTTAAATGCTCTAGACAAGCATAAATCTCACAAATTGACATGTGCATGTTACCTTGTGCCACAGTATTCAAAACTGAAGACTTTATGTTAAGTTGGATTTTTTTTTTTTTTTTTTTCCAAATATAAACATGCTGGCTTTCCCCCACCTTTCAGCATACTATTAATTTTATGTTTTAATGTGACTGAAGTTTCTTTTCTTCTTTCCTTTTTTAGTTCTGCTTAGTTTTGATTTTCAGATAAGAGTTTAGAGTTTTTTTTTTAATTTAAAGTTTGAAGTCATTGTTATCTAATTTTTCTAAAATTTCTGAAATGGGTGGTTCAGTGAAACAGCCTCATCTATATATAATAATGTAAATTTGCTAATTTATTAATTTCATCTGTTTTATAAAGTTTAAAGTTGAAAAATTACTGTTTTCAAGTTTAATCAAGTTAAGAAATAAGGAATGTTAAAGTATCAAGTTTGAACTTTTAATTCATCTGTTATCCTAAGGAATGTCAGATGGTGCATTTTTTCCTTAAATTTTGTCTAATATGTAACAGTACTGTTCTTCAGAAAAAGAAGCTGTTTTTATTATGCTTGAAAATTATCATCACAGTTTTGGTAGCTAAAATTTACATTGTTCATTAAAGATCGCAGTAAAAGATATTTTTGCTCTTTTAATTTAATTCTGAAATAATTTTCAGTAGTCATACTGTTAGTAGCCATATTAATGGGTGGAGTATTTTATTTGTTGTCATTCAGTGCAAAATAATAAATTTCCAAGAAAATTATACTATTTATCAGGAAGAAAAAGATATTGTTAAGTACTGGTAATCAGTTTGAGTTGTAACCACGTTTTCTGTAAATTTAGAATTAACTTTTTTGCAAAGAGTTTAGATGTGAATTAATTCAATCTGACGTGTTTTTTAATGGTTTAAAACTGAGTAGACATTTTGAAAATTCTCATTAATTCGTCCTTGAAAAGTTTGGATTAGCCATGCTAATGTTCCGTCACTAGTGAAAATAATTTAAATTTCAGGTAAAAATATATTTCCTTGGCATAAATTGGCGATTTTTATCAATTGTCCAGCAAGGTACAATGTGAGGTTCTTTTCCGTTTTGTCGACGCAAAACTTGCCAAGCAGGCTTTATTGGCGACAACATACAGTATACACATAAAAAATGTTAACAAATATTAGTTCTAAGAATTTTTTATTTTGAAGGCACAAACATTTTAATATTGTTTAAAATTTTGTAAAAAGCCAATAAATAAAGACAATAAATTTGTAAAAAGACATTAATTTAAGAATTTATATTCTTTCATGTTTCAACATCCTGATTCGCCAGTTCATATCACGTGACCCCAAGTGATCTCATCTCATGTAAACTA